ATGAATCCTGGGAGTGACTGACCTCTGTGGGCACTTGAGTGGAGAAGACTGGTTAATCTGGTGGTGAAGGCCTTCATCTCTGATTAGGGCTCAGGACCTGTCAGCCGTCTCTGCCCTGCAAATGGAGCAGGGATAGAGACCTCCTTCAGACCAGGAAAGAACCTTGTCTTGTAGCCCAAAGGAAAGCTGGGACTTTGCATATAGAAAGTAAGCTCCCTGAGGGCAGGGATTAAGTCTAGATTTTCTCTTTGTATCTTCCGGGCCTAACTCAACATCTCTCTTGCAGTAGATTAAGCTTAATAAATTACTGTTGTACTGAATTGAGTCAAAGAAATGGAGAGTCAGCATGCCCAAAGGGGCCAATCTGATTACCCACCACTCCTGGTAAGTGCTTTTGAAGCCCGGGGTCATCAAGGATGAGATTATATTGATGGTGAATTTAGAACAGTAAATGAAGGAAGAGCCGTTCACCTCCCAGCTGGTGAATGTATTTCAGGCCAACTAAACGGCCTAGGAACAGGTCAGAGATGAGAACAGGAGTCCCCATGGGCTGAAGCCACAAATACCTCTGAGAGAGGTCAAAGCAGGCTGCCTGAAGCCCACGGAAAAAGTCCTGGAGTCAATAGGAAATGCCTTCCTGCAGCACGAGGCCAAGGCATTGGAGAGGGGAAGTGCAGCCCAGCATAGACCAGAGGGGACAATCAGGGGACAGCACACACCTGGAGAGAACTCTGAGGAGCGGGCTGGATGAACAGACAACTCCGTCATCCCAGTCATTTCTATGCTTTGGGGTTTCCATGGGATTGGTCTCTTTCTTAGATTCTTGGTAAAAGTTTCTTTGTAAAAGACTGGCATTTGTCAGCAAAGAGGAAGGTCCCACATCTGAGTAATAGAGCTAGAGAGTCATAGGATTTAAAGCTGGAAAAGCCTCACAGATGATCTAGTTCAACCTTGGCCCCATTTTACTGAAGTGGAAACCTCTAGAAGTCAGGCATGGTGGTGGCATTGGACAAGGTCGGGGTAGAAACAGTCAGGATGGGGCAGCTGAGATACCACCACTCCTGACATACTTCCCCCACACACATGAGCACATATACATATAAATGTCTTTCTTTCCTACCTTATCTTCCATTCAGGGAGGAAACTCTTACAAGCCTAAGCCCATGCCTGGGTCCGTTTTGTCCCCAGCCCTGAGCAGTCCGTTTTGGCAGAGACAACACGATGCAGTGTCCAGGGCATTGGAGTTGGGGTCAGGAGACCTAGGATTTGGTCCTGGCTCTGGGGCTACGTGACGTACATTGGGCAATACCACTCAGCCTCTTCCCGAGCCTCAGTTTCCTCATCTCTAAGACATCTAGTGTACCTTTCATTTCTAATATTCTGTGAGTTCAAACACTATGATCATAACGGCCAAGCTTGGTCCTCCTCTAAATTTAAAAAAAAAATGTACCTCTCCCCTTTCTTTGGAGAGCTAAGGAATTGAAGGCAGGAAACATTGCACACACTTTTAGACTCCATTGATGCGCTGGTTAGTTTTGCTGAATATCTTCTCTCTTTTTTAATATTGTTACAGAAGATGACCCTCTGGGTAGGAGAGATGAGTGGGAGAGACCTATTTGGAAACGAAGGTGATGTAACAGGAAACTATATCAATATTTTTAAACCACTCTTTGAGCTCAATGAGTACGTCAGCTGAATGATAGCTTCCACTAGCCTAGAATGATATACAGGAATAGCATGATATGAAGAAGTCCAGGGTATATATTGACATATTCTTCCCCACCAGCTTTGTAATGGAAGCCATTGTCTCTTGTGAATGTCTGGGTGTAAAATGGGTCTGGAGCTGAACGATCCCTCCTTTTTTAAGTGAGAGGCACAACAGTAATACATCTTATGAAACTTTTCCCTACTTCCTCCTCCTTCCCAAGAGGCAATTGCCCTGTGGCCTCAGACCACCAATACCCCAATCCAATAGTCTTCCTGATTTGCTGAGAACAGCTGACCAATGAGTTTGCTGCATGGTACCCACGTGAGCAATTCCCAAATAGAGAGGTGGTGCCCTGGGTCTGGCATCACTTAGCCTTTCTTGTCAATGGTTCCAGGCTTTGTGAGGTTCTCCGAGAAGCTGTTATCTTAAAAGTGTAAGCTCCATCCAACCTAGAATGGTAGAATTCTAGGGTGAAATCTTCTACAGATACTTTTGATTACCTGGAAACAAGTTCTTGATATTTCATATCTACTCCCCTTCCTTATGTCAATAAGTCCTAGAAAACACATTCTAAGCCTTGCAGTTTGCAATTGATAGCCGAGAAAAAAAATGAAACAAGGGAATAAGAGCTAAAATCTGCCACCAAGATATTGAGGCAGGGTCAAGAGGAGGGCCGGGTGCATCAGATGTCTGAATCCAGAGACCTAAACACGCTCAGAGACCAAGGAGGTCAAGGACAAACCCAAGATGAGGGAACATAAAAGTTTTGAAATTAGTAATGGAGAAACCCTTGGTACAAAGACTTTCATCCCCGGAAGAGTGTAAGCTCCTTGAGGGCAGGGACTGTTTGACCTTTGCATTTGTACCCTCTTCCAGCATCCACCACAGATAGACATAGCAGGTGTTTAATAAATGCTTATTGATAGACTGAGAATCCCATGGTCTAGTCCTAGAAGCAGATTTGATCAGCAAAGCTTAAGGCACTGTCATTGTCACCTCCCTAGGCTAGTTTCCCCACTGGCACGACAGGAAACAACCAAAGGCAATGTAGTGTTCTAGAAAGAGCTCTAGATTGGAGACAGAGAACTCCTGGTTCTCCTACTTATTACTTGCATGACCCCCAAGTCATTTGATGTCCAAGACTCCAGTTTCCTCATTTGCAGAATGAAAGCCTTGTATGTTTTTATGAGGGTTTTGTTTTGTTTTTCAATGGTGTGGGAGGTAGGAAAGAGAAAATAAATGCTTATTAATAAAAAAAAAATTTTTAAATGAGTCTCTCTGGATGGATCTCAGAGGTTTCTCCTTCCCATTCTAAATGTATGAACTCCTATCCTTCTCCTGTTCCTCAGCTCGGCTGGAAGTTGGTCTAAACTCAGTCATCCACTCATTACTGGAACTAGACTTTTGCCTGGGTTAATTGTTGAGGGTTTGAAAATCCCTTTGTTGCTTCCAAAACTTTTGACCTCATAAAATGCCAAGAGGGTCTCATTTGGAAAGCATGGCATAGCAGAAATAGTGTACGATTTAAAGCCAGAAGACCTGCTTTGGGCTTCATATTTGGCTGTATGACTTTGGGCAAGTTATTTCCTCTCTGTAGAACTCAGTTCTCTTAATTCACCAAATGAGAAGATTGTGATACATCATGCCTTAGGTCCCCTCCAGTTCTCAAAAGCCTGAGCTCCAACATGGTTGGTGCCGTATTGCTCCGAATAACAAGGCATAAGAAAGTTTACTTTCTTCTTGGCTAAGACCTACAAATCCTAGGAAAGGACCACATATGAAACTGGGCTCCCCTATTCCATAATACTCCCTCCAGTCACCCCAGCCAAATGATGTTACACTCCCTTACTCTGAAACATGTAGTGTCTATGAGATAAAGTTTAAATTCCTTAGCCTGGCATTCGAAGCTTTCAATGAATTGGACTCCACCAGCCTTTCTTTTTTTTTTTTTTCTCCTGGCTAGGCAAAGGGGTTAAGTGACTTGCCCAGGGTCACACAGCTAGTAAGTGCTATGTGTCTAAGGTTGGATTTGAACTCAGGTCCTCCTGAATCCAGGGCTAGTGCTCTATGCACTGTGCCACCTAGCTGCCCCCTCCACCAGCCTTTCTTGTTTTAACTCCCATTACTCCCCAAATACAGCCTTCTATTCCTATCAGTCTGATCTATTACTCACTGTGGATGTCATTTTTCTGCCCTTATGCCTTAGCATTTGCCATCGTACATGCCCCAAATGTTCTTCCTACTCTAATTTCTGCTGACTCCTTCCCTCTTCAAGTCCCAACTTGAGAGCCACCTCCTTTAGGGAGTCTCCCTGATTACTCCTGACCGCAGTGAATTCTATTTTCCCTTCTCCCATAGCCTTTAGAATTGACTGGCTGTATCCTTCACAGCCTACCTTACTTTTGCCCCTCCTCTGCCTCATTCTTACATTTCTCTGGTGATTTAAGGTTTGCAGAATACTTTCTCTGCACTCCAGTAAGGAAAGTATCACAACTCTTCATGCCCATTTGACAGAAGAGGAAACTGAGGCTCAAAGAGATGAGCCCCCTCACTACGCCATCTCTGGAAGGGCTCCGGTTGGTCTGCGTCCTCCAAGCATGGCACCCACCACTGAACACAGTGCTCCCGAGGTGCTGGAGCACTTGGTGCAGAGAACAGTGGGGCTGTTTCTTCCCTCGGGCGGCACACGAGTCTTCTACTCAGATTCTTGGCAGCCATATCCCACGGCTGGCCCATCTTGAGCTTCCAGCCCCCTAAAGCCGAGGCCTCTTTCCCATGAACTCTTGTCCCTCACTATGTACCATCTCTAATAGGGGCCCCCAGGGTTCTCGAGGAAATAGCAAGAGCCCTCAGGCACACTAGCCATAGGGCCAGGGGTCCAGCCAAGCCCTACCTATCACCCACCCTCACCCTCATTTCCCAGCTAAGGACCAAAGTCAGGGGCAGCTGATAAGGTCAGTATCAGCTTCCTGCATGCTCCCTTGCTTCCCCCATTCCCTTCCCCTCCAGCGGGCAGCAGCCCTGCCCCCTCCCACTGATCTGGGCCCGCATCCTGGGCCTACTCATCTAACTGCCTCTCCCCTCCCATCTCCTCCCCACAGTGCCTCCAGATGAGGGATTCCAGGGTGATCTGGGAAGAGAGGAGGGAGGGACGTGCTGGGAGAGCAGCATGTGGCCCATGGGCCCTCCTCCAAAAGCACCCTCTTGCCTGTCTCCCCTACCGTCACCCCACCCCCGACATCTGACTTCCCTCTCCCTCCCTGAAAGATGCTGCAGAAAGCTGGGCCCAGCGTTTCTATGAACTCACTTCTGGCATTTATTAGTAGCCTAGACTTGAGGACATCAAGCCAGAAGCCCATCTGTGATCGGCCAAGATTCCCAGCAGGGCAAGGGCAGAGAGGGGAAATGCCTGGCTCTCACTTGTTGTCCACCCATTTGAGCTGTTCCTTCCCATTGATAGTCACTGACTTCAGCTGCCCGTCCTCCTCAATCTCCACTCGCTCCTGCCCATTCTCCACAATCCGCTTGGTGGTGATCTTGCGCCCATTGACCATCTCTGTGGACGACATCACCGACTTGTAGCCAGAGCTAGCTGAACCTGAGCCCCCAAAGGACGTGGAGGAAAAGGTGGCCCTGCCTCCGTGGCCTAAGGAGTCAAAGGAGGAGAAGGCCTCCATGAAGGCGGGGAATTCCCCAAAGCCAGCAGAAAAGGCTCCCCGCAAACCCCGGCCTCTGCTGCTGTCCCGATCCCGGTCACTGCTGAAGGGGTTGTCCCAGAAGTCAAAAGACAATGGATCCATACCGCCAAAAAACTCCTTAAAGATGTCTTCGGGATTGCGGAAGGTGTAGCCAGAGCTGAAGGGGCTGTTGTAGGTGGCTCCTGCCCCGCCGCCACCAGCCCGCCAGACATCTGACCCTGACCTGTCATACACTGACCGCTTCTTGGAGTCAGAGAGAACCTCGTAGGCCTCAGACACCTGCTTGAACTTTTTCTCTGCCTCTTCCTTATTGTCTGGGTTCTTGTCTGGGTGCCAACGTAAGGCAAGCTTACGATACGCTTTCTTTATGTCCTCCTGAGAGGCGCTCGACTGCACGCCGAGCACCTCATAGTAGTTTACCATCCGAAAAGGTGGGTGGGAGGCAAGGCTTGAGAGGCCTGGGACTTGGTTGCGGGCGTAGAGCTGACGTCAGCAGCGAAAGCAGCCCGAACAGTCAGATAAATCTGCTGGTACCCCCCGGTCCCAGATATCCTCTCTGTTGTCTGCTGTCCCCCCCTCAGCTTTCTAAGCATTCACTTTTTCATAGTACCTGCTAAAGAAGGATGTGAATAAAGGACTTCGGTGTGGAGGGGGATGGGGAAGGGGAAGGCTACCACCAACTCCTTGGCAGCTGAAGGCCCTAGGAACTCCGGAGGAATGCCTCAGCTGGGAGTTAGGGGAAAGATTATGACATCAATGGAGTCTAACCAATCAGTAGCTAGGGTTGGTGGGTGCTCTCCTTTTGCAAACCCCTGGCCCATTGGGTGGGAGAGTTGAAGGTTCACTGTGAGCCTACCGAAACTTTCTTCTTGTCCTATTTTTATGTCTTCAATACAGAGAAGTCAAGGACACTGGGAGATAGATAACAGCTCTGGAAAGATATCGGAACGCCAGGATTCTGAAAGATACAACCTCATGTTAGAACATAGGGTCTCCATAAAATAATGCTCATCTAAGAAATAGCTATCCATGCATAGGAGGTTGGGAGCTAGGATTTCTGAAGTGGTTCAGGAGGGGAATCTGAGGCACAGAGAACCTCAGTAACCTACCGGGTTAAGGAAGGCCCCCATGAGTGGGTGGATGAGGGGAACATATATCTTCTGGGACACTCTACTAACTGACTTAACCCAGCCAAAATACAAGGGTAATTTCTTTGGGGAAGGGGGTGTCAAGAATGTAGTGGGATGGGATTGTATGGCATAGTATGAAATGGAATAGATTAGGATGGAACAGGATGGAGTATAATGGAATGAGATGGGTAGAACAGGGTGTGATGGGCATGAGATGAAGATAAGATAAAGTAGAGGGACAGTGAGGCAAAAAGAATAGGATGAGCAGGAATAAAATGGGATGGGATAACAAGGGGTAAGATAGAAAGCAATGGTGGGGAATATAATCCAACCACCTTTTTTAGAGTTCTTAAAGCTATTTGGCTCCTCGGAACCTCCCAAGGAGTCTGTGCCCTCTGACATCAGATGCCCCATTTTCATGCCCCTACCTCTACGAACGTCACCAAACTTTATGAAGCAAACCTCTATCCCTTTGGCTTCAGATTGGCCATATCAATAGTTTGTCCTTGCCACCCCACCTACAATCCTCCCAACCTTTAAAGGAAATCCCCAGAGCCTCCAGCTCAATTCTGCTCGCAAACTCTGTCCCATAGGATGAAACCAAACCACATAAGGAAATGTCCAGGGACAACCAAGGAAAGGAGGGCTGATAGCTAAACCTGGATCCATCCTCCCCATTTTCTTTCTCTCTAATAGGCTTCTGCACCATAGGTACAGCAATACAGTAGTAAAAACTCCTGAATTAGCATCTGAAGACCTGGGTTCTAGCCACAGATCCAGCCATTGTTAGCCATGCAACCTCAAACAAATCACCTCTCTGAGCAGCCTCAGTTTCCTCATCTGCAAAACAAAGACAATAACATTGACACTACCTTCCTCAAAGAGCAGTCATGAGGACTCGATGACATCATGAATATCGATCCCATTGTAACTGCAAAGTATTATATAAAGGTCAAGTTCACATGTTTGTTGGTCTGGGCTCTGCAGCTGCCATTTCAGTGGCCACCAGGCCACGGCTGGCCTCTGAGGGAGATATTTGGGCTCCCCCTGACTCTTTTGAGCAAGGTATGAGAAAACTCCTTCCCTTAGTTCAACATTTTTTCAAAAGGAGCCTTTAAAGTGTATCTGAGGGGAAAGAAAATTATACAACACAAAAACCACAGACTCAGTGTAGTGGGAAGAAAGCCTGGAGATGTGGGTTGGGAGTCCCAAGACATCCTGGCTCTGGGAACATGGGAAAGCCCCTAAACTTTCTTAGCGCCAATCTCTTCATCTCAAAAAAAAGGAGGGGGCAACAATAATAACATTTGCATTATATATGATACAGTAAAAAGATTTGGAATCAAATCGCATTACACTTTGTGGGACCATGGGGCAAGTCACTTCATTTCTTTGGCCTCAGTTTCTTTATCTATAAGAGGGGTTGGACTAAATCATCTAAGGTACCTTCCAGGTCTAAGTATGATCCAGTGCCATGGTATAGTTGTGGAAGAAGTGCTTTTCAAATAGAAATGTGAATTGCTTTTGTTGTTAGAGGTGGAAGGGACATTAGAAAATATCAAATTCAACTTGCTCATTTTACAGAAGAGTCAATATCTCCAGAGAAGTTACTTGTCCAAGGCCATTTGGTCAGTTGAAGAACCAAGACTAGAACCCAGGTCTTTGGGTCCCAAGTTCAGTGCTCTTTCCCCATTACACTACCTTGCCTCCCATGGCCCAAAATAGGATAATTATGATCTAGTCATGTGTTGGCCAGCATAATTTAAACATGTCTCTTTGACACCTTCTTTCCTCAACATGACCCGCCTATTCCTGTTTCTCCATAAAATCTAGTAAGTCCATATTGAGATGATAAAAATAGAATGTTGGACTTGGACTCAAGAAGACCTGAATTCTACCTCTGATGGTTCACAAACTGTGTTGGCCACTCTAAACTAACCTCATCTATAATAATAATTACATATATGTGTGTGTGTGAGTGTGTATACATGTATATACATATATGTATGTGTGTATATGTATATATCATATATACATATATATAATGGAAATAACACCTGTTGTGCTTACCTTACAGGGTTATTGTGAGGCTCAATTTAGATAAAGTGCTTAGCAAACCTGAAAGCACTGTACAAATGGCTGTTGTTATTATTATTATTATTAATTAACAGGAGACAGATGTGAGGATCACAGAATCTCTAATTGGAAGGAATGCTGGTGGCCATCTGGTCCATCTCATACCTGAGAAAGAATCCATTCTACTGTGGCCAAATCCATCTTTGCCTGAACACTTCAAGTGAGGGTGACCTCGAGCTATATATAACCAGGGCATGACAACTGGATTTTCATCATAGTGTATGGAATTTAAAGGGGACAAATAGCACTTACACTTCTCTAGTAGCTAGAAACAACTGAGCTTTATACCTTGTGAGCAAGATTGATAATGAGTGAGGCAGATAGGTGGCACAGTGGATAGAGTGCTGGTCCTACAGTCAGGAGGACCTGAGTTCAAATCCAGTCTCAGACACTTGCTAGCTGTGTGACCCTGGGCAAGTCACTTAACCCCAATTGCCTGAAAACAAACTAACAAAAGTAATAATGAGTTTAAATAGGAAGCTTCCAGGTGGCTGGCTTTACCCCCTCACCCACCCATAGCAACCTTATCCTAGGTGAGTCCCCCAAGCCGGTAGTAGCTTCCTAACATGGTTGGCTTTGAAGTGTCCCAGAGTTTGTCTGTCCCCACAATAGGGTACTGTTCTGGAGTCTTCTTTCCCTCACCCCAAAATCTAAATTTGTCTTAAAAAGTTGATTTAAAGGTGCCTTTGAGGTAACTTAAAAGTCAGGTTTTTGTGAAGCTGACCTTGGGTGAAATTGTGAGGCTTGGCTCTGCTCCTAAATCAGCCCATTCCGCTTTAGTCTAATCATCAGCAAAGTTTCCCTTATATCAAGCCTAAATTTGTTTCTTTGTCACTTCCACTGTAGCTCCAGCTTCTGCCCCGGGGATCAAGCACACCAAGTCAAGTACTTGAAGACAGGTAGCATGCCTACTCTAAGTCTTCTCCAGGTTTAATATTTCAAGTGCTTTAAACAATTGCTCCTTATATGGTATGAATTCAAAGCCTTTTGCCATCCTGGTTAGTGTCTTCTGAATGATTTCAAGTTAATCTAGATCAAAATAAAAAAATCCCCAAATCAAAAAAGATCCCACCTTCCAGCTCTGATCATGCTGGGGAGTAGTAGTGGCTAGGCAAGAGAGTGGGGGAGGAGAAGAGGACAGAGGCTCATTAGTATATATCTATGTACCTAGCTCTTTGTCTGTCTGTTGTATCTGGGTCCATCTGCATATCTGTGTGGCTACCGCATGTCTGCTTTTATGCTTGTTTCTTACTGTGTGGCTGTATCTTTGCATATTTGAGTCTTACAATAATAGTAGTAGTAGTAACAATGATAATAATAATAACTAATCACGTTTTAAGGTTTATAGGGGAAGGTTTTGTCTCTCTGCAGACATGGGTGAATCTGTTTGTGTGCCTGAATGAAGCTCATGTGCACTCCTACTCAGGAGTCACACTGCGTGAATCGTACAGTTTTTGCCAAAAGCTAAAAGTCTGGCTTAAGTTGTACAGCTGGAAGCTGCGGCCCCTCTAGCCTGACCTATGCAAACACACTGCCGTTTGTCCATCTGCTTCTGACAGCTTGAGGCAGGAGAGCAGCAGCCCTAGCCGCCATTCACCCTTAAACAGACCTGCTGGACAGCTCCCAGGCTCAGGGGACTGAAGAGGGGAGGGGGGGCAGGGGAAGATGGAGAGGCTGGGAAAAGGAAGGGAAGGGGTGGGCTCTGGAACCAGGGTTCTTAGCCTTTTTTGTATCATGGCTCTCTTGGCAGTCTGGTGAAGCTTATGGACCCCTTCTCAGAATAATATCTTTAAATGCATAAAATGAAATCTACAGGGTTATGAAGGAAACTAATCATATGAAATACAGTAATCAAACTAATCATACTGAAATACAGTAATCAAAATGTGTGGGCTTTTTTAAAGCACAAATTCACAGACTCCAGGTTAAGAACCTCTGCTCTAGAGAGTCAATGCCCAGGCAGCAATAGAGGGGCATTTGGTATGTGGCCAGAGCTGAGAGAACAGGGCAGAATCCCTCCATGCTTAATGCTATAGTACTTCATTGACCAGGTTACTAATAAGCCACTTTCCTCATCTTCTCTGAACGTTTTCCCTCCTATAACTGATGTTACTCTTGAATAGAAACCCAAGACCTCATCTCATTATTTTCTCTCCTCTAGCCTCTTCCAAGGTAAAAATCTACCAGAAAATGGTAAAACTGTGATAAATTGCAGTTCTTTTTTAAACAAAATAGTACACCATCAAAGAACACACTTATTAAACCTAAGTTCTTTAAGAAGCCTTGTACTAGGTACTTGGATAGGAGCAGGTAGATATACTCTTAGATAAGACTAGGAAGGGTTTCTATCCTCAAGGAGCCTAGTCTAGGATAATGATGACAACCACAGATGACTATGTTACCCAATACAATACAAAGCACAATTATCAATGTCCCTTGAACCTCCCACA